CATTTTTCGCGGTTTTTGAGGGCATTAAAATCCAAGCCCTACTAATAACTAACAATTAAGGACTTACAACTTTTTAAAATTGACTCACGATTAGGCTACTGGGTTACACTTCACATTACATAAGTTGGCCTATAAGTGCATCACATTTACAACATTATGGTATTATACAATACATGTAAAGTACTTGAATTGATAGGGAACAATGGGGGATAGAGTTATTTTTATTTTTTTTTAAATATTAATGCGTATTCCTTCTATTTATTATATTATCCTAAACATTAACTTATTGATAAGACATTTAAATATTCAAATGCAAAATGGTTACACACACATTCGTTTTATAAGTTTTCATCCCCTTTATTTTACCGACTCAATCACTGCGTTTATACTTAGAAAACTGAAAAATTCGATAGGATACTTATAAATTATAATTATTATTAATTATTATAATCACACCGCATAGGAAGTAATATAATTAATTGTAAATTTGTTACTAGTAATTTATGTCGAGGGAAATTAATCATAAATAATTATAATGTATTATTTATCATGTTAATTGATACTTCAATAATACATGTTGACATGTATTGAACTTGCAAATATCTAGTGTCTACCAATTTTTACCAGCTAATATGTTAACTAAAATTTAATAATTTGAGCACGAAACAATTTCGGTTTTTGAGTRTGGTTAATTCGTTATTATACCTACAGCCTATAATATCCTATATAGTATTATAGTTATGTATAATTTATTAATCTATTATTCTACTCATTATTATTTAATTTTAATTTTATGAATATCTATAGTGTTTAACAATAATTATTGCAATTGTTGAGCCTATTTATATAATATATATAGGTATATACATGCATCATACAGTGAATGCTGCCTCCCACTTAAAATTTTGGGCTCCTGTTACTAAATGTTTTTGCGAGCTATATAACCTCTAAAGCCCTAAACTTCCAATAAACTACAAATCATTATAATATAAGGCAGAGGTATTCAAACTGTGCGTCGCAGCTCCCAAGGGCGTCGCGAGAGTTTGCAAAGGGAGCCATGTCAAAGCACCGAAAACCAACATCATACCTAGGTCTTGTATGGTTATTATAAATATTATTTGAAATCATTATGGAAATGAAAACGACACACCTTACGATTCGACCATGTGAAGTCTTATTTCTAGTCACCATTATTATCACCCGTATATCATCCCATATTGATCCGTGTGTTGTTTCAATTTTTTCATAATAATTCGGGAGCCGTAAAAATATTGTGAAAACCCAAAGGAGCCGCGCGCTGAAAAAGTTTGAATACCTCTGATATAAGGGATAAGATGAGTGCCCTATACACGATTTCTACTTTAAACAGTAGCGTATTTATTACGGAGGGAGGGGGCGGTTCGGTTCGACTCTCCTTACAGAGAACAAAAAAAAAATAGTTATTTAATGTTAAATCAATATTTCATTACGGATTTTCTGATAATTGAACGATATATACAGGTGTTATTTTATTAGTGTGATAACTGATAGAGTATCAATGGGTTTCAAAGTAAGATAAAATAAATCAGCTTTAATAATCTTTATCATATGATTTTTAAAAACAATTAAAAACCCCTCCAAGAAATAATTTAAAATACGCCACTGACTTAATCTTAATGTATTATCACACATTTTATGAAAAAATATTAATGAACATAAAATAAATATTCCTATAATACAGGAATGTCAAACTACAAATTAATTTCAACGAGCTCCTAAAATATCTGTGCCTCCAAAATCCAATCTTGCGGCCTGCGGGTACCCTGGCTATATTTTAATGTATAAAGGAGTATAGGACATAAGCACTGTATATTTGGAGTGATAAATTAATTTGAATAATTTGATTGATTTAAATTTCAAATCATTATGACTTTCTATTATATTATATCATTTATATTTTTAAATTACATAATTACTTATTATCCTGCCCCGGGCTTTCATATGACATTTTGAAATACACGTTTTAAAATATTTTATTCTGAGGTCTAAGGTGTTGTTAAAAAAAAATTGTCTTGACCTCGCTTCACCTTAAGACCGGCTCTGTACCTACCTACTTATAACATATAAGTTATAAATCATATACATAACTGTAATAATATTTAAATATTATATCAAGTTTAAGTATATTACATACCGACTATAAGTACCTATCTATAACTAGTATAAATAAAACAGGTTCATATTGCTCAAACCCAAAGGAATAATATTAGATGAGTAATTACTACACATTACAGCGATTTGCCTACACATTTTTTTATTTACATAAAGATTTTGCTTTTTTGTTTAGTTTGTACAAAAATGTTCTTTGAGTGTTATCTGAGTTTAACAATATTAATATGGGTTGTAAACTTCAACACTTGTACAAGTACCTACCATAAGGCTGAATTTTAAACAAAACAAATAATATTTCGATAAGGACATGTTTACATTTACCTAAATGAATATGACCTCAATCCAGTGTGACCTAAGAATATTTAATATCTATACCTACTAACTGATATACCGATATTGTAGTTTGTACTATAGACTGTAATTATATACATAAATAATAACCAATGTGTAGTCAGTCATGGGAGGATTTTCAATGAACGTAGAATTTATATATTTTGTTTTTAATAAAATTAGTATCGTATTAAAAAATATTTATTTTTTCACACACAAATATCCCGTTGATAATCATTTACCGTTGTATCATGGATTTTGAAAAATTAATATTAGGAATAGACATAGGAACGAGTTCAGTGAAAATGTCACTTTTAGACAGCTGCACTTCAAAATCTATTTATGTCAAATCGGTCTCGACTACTGCAAAAATTAATCCTAGTCATCAAAAAGGTGACGAGCAAGATGTTATCAAAATTTTGAAAGCACTGCAAGATTGCTTAAAGTCACCAGGAAAAATGATGGAAAAGGTAAATATTTAAATGAAAAATTTAATCATATATTATACAGAGTAATTGATTTAACTCTCATCATATTTCGAAAAGTTTTAACTTTTTTGAAAATATTTTTATACTGTTTTAAAACATTTCTGAAAATATAGTTTTTTCAACATTTTTTAAAGTAATTTAAAGTTCACCATACGTTTTAGATTCTGAGCTAAGTGATAAATGTATTGATTTTACAATGATGTGTTTTTGTGTGTGTATCTCTACACGATGAGTMATCGAAATGATGTACTTCGATTTTCAACTTCAGAATTTTTTCCTGTGAGAAAAGAATATAATTACTGCATTTAGGAGGTTAAATTAAAAATTCTCAGTAATTTTCAAAACCACAAGGAAAAACAAAAAAAAAAAAGTTAAGAAAAAACGGGAATTTTTATTGTTCTACGTAGTATAACTAAAACAAATTATGTACTAAGTAGTGGTATTAGGTACCGTAACTACCGTAGATAAATTAAATTTCCACTGAATGTTTGTATTAGCATTTTCTATATGCCATAACATTTTCAAAATATTTTGATTCATGTTGAGGTTATATTGAATTTATAGCCTTATAGCCTTATAGGTATATGAAACTGTCGATTATTATTTTTTTTTTTTAAATTAATGTCAAAAAAAAATTTTGCTCGGTCAAATACTTGAAAATATAATATAAAATTCTCCGTAAGTTGTTATTAGTAAAAATTACAAAAAATAAAGTTGAACCTAAATCATCCATCACAATAATTGAGCGTTTGATATTCACACTTTGATAAAATACTTAAAAATAGTCTAGAATCACGAAAATTTACAAATTATTTTCGATTAGGTATTCTCAACTGTATTGTGTAAAATTTGGAGTCTCAACTATCGTCTATTCATCTATCATTTCAGCCTGTGGTTCTCTCATATTGGCATATTATTTTGTGGTTCTATAATTTCGCTCTAAACAGTTTCTTGTTGTACATTTCTTGTAAGACGGAGAAAATACATACGAAAGCATAACATTATCAATTTTTTTTTTGACGTATTTATATTATTGTTTTATTTCAATTGAATATATATAAAAAAAATCTTGAAATTTAATTACAATTTAGGATTATTAATTATTATATTATATATAGTGTACACTCGATCGGATTCAGGACGATTAAATGCAATAATTAAAATATTTAAAAATAAAATTTAGTGGGCTTGTTTAGCCACTGAATTTTCTTAGGGGGCAATACTCATACTCCTAAGGCCCTCATTTTGGCTAGAGACAGTCCAAAATTCTTAATTACATCTTGTGATTTATTTCCATTTTTTGAAGGCTTGATAGGCGGCATACCCACATGTGTTTTCTACGTAAGTAAAGTAAAGTGATACTAAAATACTAGAAATAAATAATATAATACTAAATAACATATTATTATATAAGTAGGTACCTACTGCATATTTTTTATTCTAAAAATTATCTAAGATATAGATGGATTTAGTTAGAAATTTGACCAACTATCTGATCCTGATAATAAGGTAAAAGCAATTGGTATTTGTGGTCAAATGCATGGAATAGTTTTCTGGAATGAGCAATTTGTACAAAACTTTTGGGATAGTGAGTTCCTAAACAAAACCGATAAATTTGTATCTAATTTATATACATGGCAAGATGCACGTACAGATTTACAGTTTTTGAGTAAGCTGCCAAAACCTCATTCTCATTTAAAGGCATACTCAGGTTACGGATGTAATACCATTTTTTGGTTAAAAGAAAATCAGTAAGTATCAAAGATGTGAAAATTGATTGAATACTTAAAAATAAAATAAAAATGTTTATATATATATATATCATTTAAGACCAGAAATATTGGAAAATTTTAATCATTGCGGTACAATTCAAGATTTAATTGTATCAATACTTTGCAATCAAGAAAAACCAGTCATGTCTACTCACAATGCAGCAAGTTGGGGATATTTTGATGTAATCAACTGTTCCTGGAATATAGATATTTTAGCAGAAGCAGGTTTTCCAGTCCATCTGTTACCATTAGTCGTAAAGCCTGGAATAATCGTTGGGACATTATATGAAACAATTCATCATATACCAAAAGGCACAGTTGTTGGTAAATGATAATAAAATTTATTTAAATTAAATAACTTGTATTTAAATGAATTTCCATTGAAGGTGTTGCTCTTGGTGATTTGCAATGTTCAGTTATAGCCACATTAACCACAATGACAGATGCTGTTATTAACATTTCAACATCTGCTCAAGTTGCATTTATAGCCAAAGAAATTGAAACACAATGTGGTACAATTTAATAACTATTCTTATTATAGTTTGGTGTATAATTTTATAATGTTGAATTAGATGGTGTTGAATATTTTCCATATTTTGATAATCACTTCTTGGCAGTAGCAGCTTCTTTGAATGGTGGAAATGTTGTAGACTCTTTTGTTAGATCTGTGTTTAACTGGGTATCTGCTCTTGGATTGACAATAACTAAAGGTAATTAATAGTATCAACACATGTTTTGTTTATGTATCAATGCTCAATAGCATTCTATTAATTAAATCTATATTTCACTGTTACATAATGTTAGTAAATGTAAAAACACTTAACAGCCTTAATTTTTATCCCATGCTATTAATACATACGTTAATATTCTTTACTTACTAAATACCAAGAGTATTTTATTGACACATTATGTATCAAATTTATTTCAGATGAATTATGGAATCGATTGTTACATTTGTCACCTGAAGAACATTTGACAACTCTAATAGTAAACCCTTTAATTTTTGGTGAAAGACACAATCCAACAACTTATGGATCATTAATTAATATTACAAATGATAACTTCACATTATCAGAATTGTTTTCAGGTTTTTGTAAAGGTCTCATTAATAATTTAATCAAGTAGGTATTTCAAATCATCTCAGAACAATGCAATAATAACATAAAATTTGAATATATTTTATTTTAGAATGATGCCAAGAGAATTGTTATTGAAAGCTGGAATTAAAAGAATCATAGGTACAGGATCAGTCATAACTAAAAACCATATAATAAAAAAAGAAATAGAAACCTGTTTTAACCTTCCACTCAGTGTAACAATGTCAGAAGATTCTGCTTTTGGTGCTGCTTTAGCAATACTGAAGAATAATCCTTCAATACTTAATTAGAATTAGATGTCTTCAGTTTTTTATATATAAAAATAAATATACATGTTTTCAGTGTACAGCTAGGGGTTTTTTTTTTTTGGTGTTGAAACCCCTTCCTCCTAATAAATATATTATTTATATTGTATAAAAAAACTAAAACTTAGTTTAATTTTATTAACCTATTCTCCATTGAATCATCAGAGTTCTAATATTGCATTGTTAAATTGATACACATTGTGTATAAGAATGTAGAAAAAATATTTGGTTAATTAATAAATGTACAACTTGAAATTATTAACTCAAAATGTATTTAACTTTTCAATATTGCAATCATCAATAACTACAACTATATTATAAATTAATTGAAATAATAATAATAATAATAAAATAAATAAAAAATAAAAATATATTTATTATCTGAATTGTTGTATAAATATAATTAAATGTCACAATGAAATATAACAAAAGACTTACAAATTATGTTCTTAAAAAGTTAGTTTTATTTTTTGGATTATTCTCAGGTCAAATGCTGAAACATAAAATAAACCTAATATATTAATAAAATACATTAAAATTAAATACACAGATTATTAATAATAAATATATATTTCATATTTGAATTTTGAATTTTTGGACTATATTCATTAAGTTATTATTATATTTACTTATATTTGAAAAAAGTGTTTCATTAATTTGTTTTAATCCAAATAACTTTGTAGGTAATATTTATAGATATACCATATGACATAATTTCTCAGTAGTCCTAATATTGAAGTAGTAATCAATGATTCTGTTCAAAACCATATAGTTGAGTTGCCTGCTTAGCTATATTCATTTAAAATAAAGATGACCCTCTAATATAAAAATAGTTAACACTTAATAGACAATTTTAAATTTGAATACAAATATTATATAAAGGCACCATTATATTATAATTTGTTAAAAAATAGCAAAAAATACACCAATTACTAGTATTTCATTAGGCGTGTGTTGGATGTATATAGCTAATTAGACTATGATTATTTTCATTACCACAAAACCAAAAAGAAACTAAGTCATTATTATTTATTAAAACACTAGCAAAATTGAACATTCATATTTACAATTAATATTTAATATGTATCATTTGAATATGATATGATTGATCAGTTGCAACAGCAATATTGTAAATTTTTAGGTACAAAAATAAACACATTTGACCACTAAATTGAAAAATATAATTAAATCAAAGCATATGCATATAATTTTAAAAAAATAACTAACTTGTACTATTCATGCAGTAAGTCTTAACAAACAAACAGAAAAATCTGGATTGAATTTACAATACACCTACCTAGTTATTTGAAGTAAAAATTACATTACAAAATATTACTAACAAGTATTAATATAAAATCAGTGGTAACAATATGGGCTTATAATAATATATATTATTATACATTACCTTAAGAACTACTATTCAAGTGCATTAATTGTTCTTGTAAAACAAATGACATTGTACATGGTGTCAAAACCCCTTTATTTAACATTTCTTCTCGAGTTTTGCCTTTAGTCTTTGGAGTTTTCAAAAAACTACAATCTTTATTTAAATTGTTGAAAATTCCAAAAGCACCAGTCATTCTAGTATAATTTTTTTCCTTTACTGTTTCTGTAGTAACGTTTGAAGTCTGCGATTCAACAGTGTCATTGTTTCCATCCTGAATTTTTTTTATCAATTTATCATAGTTTTCATTAACTTTATTTTCCATAATTCCAAAATGTTTTTCAATTTCTAGTTCTATTTCTTTGAACCGGGTCTTGATCAAATCACAACATAGTGATTTAGTTTGGCGAATGTCGTCAATTTCATTTTTTTTCAATTCTTCAATATCTTCAACTAATAAAGACAGATTTGATGTTTGGCGAATATCATCAATATCTCCGTTTTTTGATCCTTCAATTTCTTCAACTAAAAGAGGCATATTTGGTTTTTGAGCTAGGCAAATATTATCAATCTTTTTGTTTTTTGATACTTCATCTAATAATGGTAAACTTGACGTTTTAGTTTCAGACTTACATATGTCTAGTTCTGGTTTCGGATTAATGCTTAAATCTATTAAACTTGGAGTTATGAATTTATTATAATTATTTTCGTTGACATGAGCCAAATCCACATCAGGATTTGAAACATTAAACATATCAGCATTTTGCTGGACAGATTCTAAGTGACGGTTTAATAAATACTTGGAGGCAGATGATAATGCATTGTTAAACTGTAATTTTTCATAATTAGTACAAGGTGAATCAATTAGTGTGTTAAAAAGTTCTTTTGATTGCAATACAGGTTCACAAGGCTGTTGGCGGGATCTCCCCATTGATGATTCGAGACGTTTGATTCTACTAGGCGGAGACAATGGAATTTTATTGTGGTTATTAAAAATATCCATGTATGTTGATTTTGGTATGTCATAAGTATTTTCTGTATAAAGTTTATCATGACTTTTGGATTTTGATGAAGAAAACTGAAAATTGTTGATCTGAAAACAAATAGAAATATTGATTATTGATGCTGTTATACTGAATGTAAATATTTGCATATACCTCATGTAATGGCTTTAATGTACGCTTCATAACAAATGTATCATCATCAAACAAAGCTTTTTTAGGTCCTACTGAAACTTTTTTTTCTAAAAAATACAAATAAAGAGTTTAATTATTTTACATAATAGGACTAAACTATGTATATTGGGATTTTATAATTAAGAAGTGTACAATTTAGTTTAAAGAATTAATAAAAAATAACAGGTACTTTGAGAGTATCATAAAATAGAAAAACATCCAAATAAATATTGAGCGCTATTCAAAATTCCTGATGACTTAAATCAAGCATTACCTATCAAGTATAGCTAAAAGTGAAGCCATCAGCATAGTAATTTTGAAGTTAATTACATATTAGGTATTAGGGTAATTATCTGAGAAAATTATATGTATATTATGCAAAATCTAAGAAAGGTTAATCATGACATTTTTTAAGATTAATGAATTACTGTATTAAGATGCCTAAAGTTATAATTCAAATTCAACCTAACCTAATTTAAATGAGAATAACTGGGATTTATATAATTTTACACAGGTACATTTTGTCAGAACAATTAATTTATTAATAATGTGCCGAGATAAGTATATATTATTCGATGTTGCATGGATGTACACAAAAGATATTATACTGTTTGTTTTATATGAAAAAATAGTATTTTACTCCGATTGAAAAATTAACATACTATTATCATCAACTACCAAGTCAGAATGCCATTGAAAATACATAACAACTGTTTACTAAAATAAACTCAACAGATCTTACTGATATAATAATAAAATAGTATATGTATATTATAGAATGGGTTGTGAGTAATTATTACGTTTAAAATAGATAGTTAGAGAATAATATTATACAAGATACATACCATTAATGTCATCGTATTCGGGAGTAAGTTTAACAAGATTTTGTACCACACTACGACGGCCAACACGTCTTTCTTTATTCATTTTAAATCTTCAAAGCTATTAATGTGCACGCAAATTAGAAAGCAGAAGGATCTCGAAATATCCAAAAAAAAAAATAAGATCAATCAGTATTACAGGGGAAATTAAATATTTAACAACAAGTAAAATTATTCAAGTATTAACACATTGAGAGTCAAATTGGTAAAAAAAAAACATTAAAAATCATAAATTAATGCCGTTAGAATACTGTACCATGTCACCATGATGTACATGAAATAAAATATTATAATTTGATAATATTATACATCATAACATGACAAATGACAAATAGGTATTTATGCTGAAATTTGAATCGGAAATTCAGAACGTTGCGGGAAAAAAATAACCGATATTTTAACGTCTGATATCAGCTGTTGCCACTATGATTTAAAGGAATTTCGCCGATGCATGGAAAAGACGGTGTTGTCAATAATCCCCACCAAATTTTAGTTTCTTATACGTTCGATCACATCACATATTCACATCACACTATCACAGTATCACACTATCACTGGACGATAGAACCGCAGAACAATCACGAGCCATGTCGCCACGGCTTCAATTATACAAGGATAACTACTTGTTGTTTCACAAAGTATTTGTTCTAAACTCTAAAGTAAATTTCTTCGAACATTGTAACATTATGGATAAAAATATTTAAGATTCTTAAGCACGATTTTTTATAATCATTGTAATAATTTCTACGTATCGACTATAGCAACCTAAGACCTATTGGCTGTTATCCCTAAAACAAATAGGTTAGGTTAGGTTTAACTGCTTACTTAAATGAATGGCAATAAATTCGACTATTTTAAACTATATTAACCCTAATTTAATTATTAGTTAATTGTGCAAAAAAACTTTGTTAAATATCCATATTCATATATATTAAATGAAATAATTATATCCTTTGTTTTTTTTTTAGTATTCTCATACAAATCAATGTGATTTTTTTTGGCTATTTCTACATGATAGGCATAACAATTGGAGTACTTATTTTACATTTCAGATAATGTTCTAAGAATTGTTACCATTTTACACCAAATTTTCTTAAAACTCTTTCTTTGGCCTGACGACAATAAATCTATGCGCCGCGATAACAGTTCAACACCGACACAATTGTTTCATGCGATATATATTTTTCAGGATTTTGACTTGGTTATTGCACTTATTAAAACTATGATAAAATATTATGTATTTATGAATCAGAGACTTTTAACTTCATTATTATTACCTAGTTATAAATATATTTTTCAATATTTAATGTTATCATATAATAGCAATGTACAATAATTTCTAATTAAAACATAAGTATATCTTAAAAATAATAGGAATAATACTGAAATTAATACAGAATATTAATATATAATAAATTATACCATAACACTAAAGAAGGTAGATTGGCGGAAACGGAAATCGAACTTTTTTTAAATCGGCAGATTCGGTTATTTTAAATTTTGGCGGAAACGGTACATGCCTTAAGAAATATTCCAAAACACAACAATATTTGATTGTAATATTATACAACTGTGATATTGTATACCTTGTGTATTCCAAATGACGCCAACGATGTGGGTGTATGATGAATATTATAAATACAAATGAGAAAGATCAGTTTTTTTTGTTGTTAAACAAATCATTTATAGGATTTGAAAATCTATATTTTAAATCAAAGGCGAAGAAGTAAAGTGGATCATCCTCTAGTATAGTAATTAGTAGTATCAGTAGGTGACTACACCAAATCCTGCGGATATTTTTCGAGATATTGAGGTAYAATAGTTCTAGAAATCAGTTGTCTATGAGAATGTGAACATAAACGCCACTAGACCACCTTCAATATGAAAACTATACTCATTAAAATACTATTACTCGTTTGATTTCCATAAACAGTGACGACGTGAAGGGGGTTAATTTGACGCAGCCATGTCACGAAAAAAAAATGGTTGGTTGGTGGAAGTTGAAATTTATAGTTGAATAGAAGTTAGGAGCCTATTTTAAAGTTATGTTAGGTTAAACACACACACACGTATTTTATACCATATATTGAAAACAATCAAATATTACTGCATTTATTTTTAGTATCTAATATTTTTTTTATTTTTGTGTTGACGTGGGTGGGTGTTGAAATTTTTTTTACTTTGTCATTGAAATAATAAATTCACGTCGCCACTGTCCATACGTTTAGCATAAATATTTGAGTAGATACTGTCTGACAGCAATATCATATTAGTACATTATATTAAAATTGATCATAAAACATTTACAATATTTTACATAAACTTATAAAAATATTGAAAGGATTGAGGTTAAAAACATTTTAAAGATGAATAAATACATTGAATATTTATTTCGTGGTTAAATTTTCCAAATACTCAAACAGTTTCACAGAATAATAGCTTATATTAAAAAACAAAAAAATAATAATTACTCTGTAAACAATTATTAGGACAAAATTGATATTTAAGAAAACTTTTTTTTTTTATGACAGGAAATAATTGGTACAATGAAAAGTTCAAGTCCAAATATTTTTTCACGTTACAATATTAGTTTATTTGCTCCAGACACAGATAATGTGACTTGTTTTATACAAAATCATAATATTTTGGTAACAAATTTTGTACAAAACAAKTACAAACGGAAAAATAAATATTTATTAAGTAAAAAAAAAATCTAAAACAATCAACAAGGAATATAATCTATAATATAATGAAGGTACTATTGCATGTGAGTTTAAATACAATTAATCTTCAAGTGGGAAAAGTATTTTAATTTTTTTTAATTTGTAACCTAATAAATACTTTTAATTTACAAATATTTAAAGTTATTTAACATAGTATAAATTTAAAATTTGCTAGATTTTTCCACGATTATGCAATATAATATGAAATGTTAACAAAGTAACAACTAAAAAGAAATTGTTTAATTTGGGAAAATTTAGAATGGCAGTGTGTTTGCATCCTTTAACTTAAACATTCCCACAAATCTTTTCTAATTGACTGAAAAAAAAATAGATAACCGCTTTGAGCATATCAATTTTTATGTGTAACGCGTGCCAAAACATGATAAAGAACCAAACATAACAGAGAAAAATATATATAATTTCCAATTGTTCTACTTTCAAAATCACAGACCACTCAGGACAATGTCCTCTCCTCACTATCCACACCCAACAAACTTTAACAATTCCTTAGAAATATTTTTCCAAAATAAAATTTTAAGTACGTGAAAAAATCTTAATTAGTAACATTAAATTATAATTTTTTTGTTAGAATAAATATTTTAAATTTTAATAGACTAGAAAAAAGATCTGTAAATAAAATAGGTACACATAAAGCTGACATACATAATTTTTTTTTCTTTAAACCTAATAAACACATAATTATATTTTCTTTGAATATCTAATACAAAATAAAACATTTATATTATATACATATAATATTGGTTAAATAATTGTATATATTCAAATTTTTTTAACTCTTGAAATTTTCTTATGCTATATGGAAAATTTGTCTAATTTTTGTACTCTCGAGACACTAAAACTTTTTAAGCACTACATAATGAGGCAAAAAAATAAATAAATAAATAAAAAAATAATATGTAACAGGTATAATTGTTATTTGATAAAATTTTATACTGTTAACTCGAAAGTATTGATAATGTAATCATTAATTGTTATAAAATGTCAAATAAAAACAAATACATATAACTGAATCAATTTTGGAATGATTAATAAGCTAAAACAAAAATATTTAACAAAATAAATGTCAACTTTTCGGATAAAATTTAAACAACAATTTTCATAATAAAATATAAAACAAAAACATCATTTTGGTAGTTACTAGAATTTAAAAAAAAAATGTTCAACAAATATTGCACTAATGGAGAAATTATGAGATAGAATAACACTTAAACAACAAGCTTGAAAATATTTTAACATTGCACAGTCAGTTGGTAAACTCATGTGCAATTAGAACATAAATCAGATGCCTTAGTAAATTCACATTCCTATAGGACGAATTGAATATCATCCCCACCACCTTGTCATTTTATACTATTCATTAGACCAGCTAAATTAATTTAAAACATTTTTCAAATTTCATTTGTTTGAATGAGTATGTGTGAAAAAAAATGTAATTATATATCTTTTTTATAACTTTTTATACATGGAGGTTTATTGTGGACTGACACTTTCAGCTGGCACTGAAGTTGCTGTAGTACTTTTTTCGTTGCACTCAGCCATCTTCTCGCAGTAGTCCCTGAAATAATCGCGGAAGCGAGACCATGATTTTTCTGGCACAGTAATTGCTGTTCTAAAGTTTCCTTTAACCTAATATTTAAAATAAAATTAGTTTAGAATTAAATTAAAAAAATATAAAAAAAGGTTAAATGAAGAGTAATTTAGACTTGCCGTAGTTGTTACCTCCGATATGCGCATGTAAATGCCACGGTTATTTTGGCCAACATCAAAATAAAAATTTTTGTTATCAACCCTCATGTGACGACCATCAGGCAAGTCACCTTTGAAGCCACCATCATCTGTACCAAATTCATCTAGCAGATCTGTCAGATTATCACGAAACTCAATCATGCCTTGCGCTGGGATAGCAACTTGAGAACGTGGGCCACCACGAGTTATTGTCTGGGAGACCTATATAGGTAAAACAATATAATTCATGATTAATACATTATGCATAGATTTTAAATTTGGTAAATAGTTTTAGAAAAACAAAAATGTTCAGTTACACGAAGAAATCTTCCACGGGCGTTCTCCTTTAGATCTAAGTAATAACGGCGGTTGTCCTTGATCATCATTTCAGACTTCAATTTTCCATCTTCAGGAACAGTATCTGGATTAGGTGGTCCTATACAAATATGTTAATTTATATTAAATATACAAATTTAAAATTAATTAAAATAATTATTTGGTAGTGGATTAGATAAAAGGGTAGGGGGATTGAAAGTATCTAGGAACAGTGTTTGCGCTGATTATTGAGATTTTAAAGCTTTTTAAATCAATAATAAAATTATTAATTAACACACACACACTTATCTCTCTCTATATATATATATCATACTTAAGTACATAAAACCTACAAAAATCATATATAATATATATTCATTTGTATGGTTAACTAAAATCCTGTTGTCTTCAATCTGTTTTATTCTTTCCTTTTCCCATAATCGTTTTTCCCTTCTTATTATACGTTTAGTTTCTCTAAGATTCTGGGCAAAATTTTTATTGTTTTCTGTGTTTGGGTTTGTAAGCATCAATGATCTCGCTTTATCCCTTTCTTCAATTGCGCTTTGACACTTATTGTTAAACCATTTATGCTTTTGTACTTTTTTCTTTTTTTCTAGGTGTTCCAACGTAGTTATTTTTATTATTCCCTTTAATTTTTTCCAACGGGTTTCAATATTTCCTGCCTCTATTCCGTCCTTTAATTTGTTATAACTAAAATAGTTGGTAGGCGCTAAAGAATTAATAATTACACTAATTACGTTCAAACTAAGGAATATTTACCTAATTGTGAATAAAACTCGCTGAAAGTACCAAGATGATCTCTGAAATCAGCCGCAGTGGACAAAGCCAAAAAAATTTGACTTCTTCTACCATCAGCTCCAATCTATAAAAATAAAAAAAATTGTTAAAAATATTTGAAAAACGTACACTTTAACAGACTTTTGAGGGCACCATAACTACTCTTTTTCAATTCAAACTGATGTTGGACACAATGATTTTCAACTGGAATAACAAATAATATATATTTATAATACTTACTTCAGCGACTTTTATAAATTTTCCTCTTCTATTTTGTTTAACATCTAAGTAAAAACGTTTTGATTGTATTTGAAGCATTTTGGTGGCCAGCTCTTGCTCATTACTTTGCTGTTGTTGACCTATATTACAACAAACAATTAACGCGAATAAATGAATTTGCATAAAAATGTCGTGAATATCACTTAAAAATAATAATTATATGGAAATATAAAAGAATATACAAAAATTATCTAGATATTAAAACAGTTAAAAAAGACGTATTGTACCGAATATAATTTCTCTACCGATGTCTGACATGATGAAGTCGTTGTCGGGGTTTTGCATTTTAATTTAATACCAGCTTAAATCGAATGATTTGCGAATTGCTAATGTACACAGATTTTTGTTATCAATAAAAAGAATACTAAAAACATTTAAGGCCATATTTCGCTAACAAAAGATCAACAGCGGAGCAACACGACTAAAGGGGTACAACACTTGGAGATAGCAACAACACTACTGGTAGGGATTAGGTCAGGGCGCTCAATAAGTGGGTCACGTCAGCTGACTCGCCGCATAAAGGGCTGTGAGTAGCACCACCACAAGAAATAATTTATATTTTTATGAATTGTGAGCAAGGCATTTTATTACTTTTAATTTGGTTTTTATATCACACATCACTCGAATTCTGCGAACGATGTTTAAAAACCAAACAGATTTATTAAAAATAGATTATTCAATATTAATATTAAGTGAAAAATAATAATATAAATATAAATTTACCCTTATAGATAACCAAATACATACATATATCAGAAATTAATGGTACCCGCCGTTTTTCCCGAATCGAAATTCCCGAATAGTATTTTGCCCGAAAGTCTAAAAATCCGAAACCTGTTTTCCCGAACACCTTTTTCCCGACAAGTTATTGTTCCCGAAATAAAAAATTTAAAAATTTAGTTATTACTGGTGTATTTTCTATGTATTTCTATCTATTTTATACCTATATAAGATAAAGATAGTATTTACCAAAAAGTACGGGTATTTTACCTTTATCGCAATTTACCGTCGTTACAACGACATATGTATAATATACATGTACTATTACTATCTTTGCCACACGAGCATTTAATTGATTTTTATTTTACACCTTTATCATCGCGCGCTTGTGATACTATTGTTATGATTACTATCGCTCGTATATTGTTGTAATTATTGTTGTAATCGAAAAGTCTCGTTATTCGCGTAGTTGTGGTTATACTTTCGTTTTAATTTTCAGTGCGTTATATTGTATAAGCTTTTTTAAATTATTAAATATTAAACATTAGGTACACTACAGGATTTATTATATTATTATTAACTTTACCAAATTAATTTTTATATTTTATACGTATTGTAATTTATCGATTTTAAAATATTATACATTAGGTAGGTACATTACAGGATTTATTATATTATTATTAATTTTACTAATTCATTATTATATTTTATACATATTATAATTTATATTCGGGAAAAAAAGTTTCGGGTTTTCGAATTTTTGGGTATAATACCATTCGAGAATTTTGATTCGGGCAAAATACCGGTAACCAAAATTAATTGTATATATTTGACAAAAAATTCAATACAATTTAAAATTTTATATTGTTGTCCTTTATAGATTAAAACTTTAAGAAGGTACTGTCGTACTGAACATCTGAATACGATGTTATAATCAACAACGCACATCAATAAATAAATAGTAATTGTAAATTAAAACGTAAATAAATATTTTGTACTTAATCAACTATAATAAAAAAAATTAAATTTTTATTTTTAGAGTAAGTATCGAACACTTTTAAATAGATGGAAATGGAAATAAAACTAATGAGGAAAAAAATATGTTTCCAAAAATTAAAATAATAAAAAAGTGTCAAAATTGTACGTTTCAATTTGTGGCTTTACTCTTTAGTAAGTTAATGAAGAGACATAAAAACAGCATACGAACAAATTAATAATTTAAATAAGATCGTAATAGAAATTATCAATAAACTATTTTGATTTTTAAGTTGGAGGGGATTAGTGTATTATTTTTCGTCAAATTCAATATTCATTGTATTACATTTAGTGGCTATACGTCATATTCACCTCCGAAAACGTCGTCGAGCCTACGTTTTAGCAAAAAACGCTAAGGTAATGAAAATACACACTCCTAATTATAAATGTTTAAAAAGAATGGGATGGGTTAAACAGATGACGGGTACCGCTGTAGCCAGTTGTTAAATTCTCATTATTCTAGATTTAACCAGCATTCATACTGGTTGGTTATCTTAAAATAATAATATACAAACAAAATAATTTTTTTGGGAAGGTCAAAATAAAATAAATGTGTATTATTATCTAGTTTTCAATCAATACAATCATTTAATGTATGCGAACTCTGTTTTTTTTTTTTGTAACTAATTCTCGTAAAACTGATGAGTGAATAAATTGGAAATTATAAATAGCCGTGGGTCAAAATTTAATATACTATTGATTATAAATAATTAATTATTAATATCAAAAATAGGTGAGTAAATAACACCTCTGCAATACAGTAGGTTACTGTAATGGATGTATTAAATTTGAATCTAAATGTAAATAATTTTAGACGAAAAACTACTCTGAACGAAGACACTGTCAGCTTATTTCATATAAATATATTGCAATTAATTAGTATAGTAGTTTATTTTACAATTAGMTGCAATACTAATATTGCAAATATGCAATTATGAATATGCAATGGCATAAATGGCATAAAATAAACCTAAATGTTATTATGTAAGTGAAATATAATAATTGGTAGGTACTTAAATAGTATTTAATAAATACATTTCTAAGCTTTGAAACCCCAAGGAAAACATTTTTAAATTGCAACAAAATCCTAATAATATTATTATAAACATTTGGTGAAAATTAAAAGGATCAATAATTACCATATTTTTTAGCTACACATAAGAAATCAAAATTTATTTTGTGTAAAAAATGAAGTGAAAGGTACTAAATACTGGATAATTTTGAATTTTGACCTCCTAAAAGTACCATTTTTATTATCAGAAGCTACCGAAAAAATCGAAGCATTTTTTCTACAATATAGTATAAATCAATGAATATTATTAATAATAGTCATACATTAATAGCTTCAATTAAAAACTATTAATACGCTATTAAGATAAACACATTATTATAAGTACCAAGTACTTAAAGTTTATGCGGAATAATACGTAAATCAGGCGAGTCCGACAAAAAATTAAGAGCTTGTGTTTTCCATCAGAGGCAGAATAGCACGATTAGAATAACAATCGTTGGACTCACTAGATTTACGTAGGGCAGTGTTAATTTTAAGTACTTATTACATTACATATTCTAATATATGTGTATCTATTATCATTATTATCTTTGTATTATTATGTCAGCATTGTCAGCTGATAAATCAAATCTAAAATTAAGATAGAATTTTTCTAAAATAAATTATTCAACTTTACCAAACGGAAAACGGGTGCTAGGTAAGATAAAACAAAAAAGGATAGTAAACGATCATATAAATTAAGAAATAGGTACAATAATTGTTTTATACTGATGAGCGATAACTGTCTTCATGGCTCTTCGTAATTAATACCATATACGAATTACCAATAGCATAAAAATCCCTAATACGTCATATATTTTCATTTTAGGAACTATTATTTTATTAGAAATTGGAAAGAAAGAAAGATTGATAATCAGTACTCATTAGTCCTTAGTTTAATTGCAGTACCATTAATTGTAATATAGTAATTAAGTAGCTAATGGTTTATTAGTTATAAGTTCATTATATTTACATAATTGGTAATTGGTAATTGGTAAAACCCCTGGAAAACCACCTTCTTTTTCAATCGATACTAAGAAAAACAGAACTGTTCTATTAAACATGTAATTGCATTTTTTGAAATTTTTAAATAGTTAAGAACTATTTTCTTTAGAGTGGGCATAATATTATACTACATAGTATGCATGAATAGTAACGCATAAGTCATAAATAAATAATTCTATGGTCATAATACAAAATAGTCGAACATAAATATATTATACCAATTTAATGTTTATAAAATACTTATAAAATTTGTATTAATTTTGACTGCCTTCATTAATTAAAAATAATGTACATATCTTTAATTTGACAACAGGTCTAAGTATGTAAAGTAGGTACAGTTAAAAACATATCCATTTATTAATATTTAACATGGAAAATACATAGGACTAAATTTTACAATTTATCTTTAATTAACATGATATTTTTAATTACAAAAAAATTGAAAATATTTTTTTATTCTTAACTACTTGATTCTTTTTTTACCATTTAGAATAAGTAACATTAACATTAACTATTACTCATTAATCAAACATCTATAAGTTTTTGACTAAAATCTATTTTGTTTAAATCATATATCTATACATCATAGCATTACATATTATAAGGATGGCACCATGTTCGTTAATGTTGGTGACCCTCCCCCCCCCTCAACTATCTCAGGAACGATTTTGAAAAAGGTCGCGACTCCTGGGTTGAAAACCTCAACTATAGAAGATAACAACCACTACATTAATACTATAAATTATTATATTATACTTGTAAAATGTTTATTCTCTAATAAATCAGGTGTATTATTAAAAAATAATTGTATTCAAGGTATAATTAATTTTACCGAAATAATGTCTATATCTTATATCATATTACTAACATCCATTTTTACAAAATACCAGGCTCGGACGACAATAAGTTACTTGACGTTTATTATAACATAAATAAAGTCAGGCCGTTTACCAATGAACTATAAATAGAAAATTCTCATTATTATATTAAACGTATTTTGTAGACGAATTCTTCAGTTTAGAGCTTAGATAATTTATTAAATGACAAATTACGAACACATTTATATATTTATCTAATTAGGGTCAAATGGGGTAATTGTAAATAAATTTTGTTAYTTTTTAATATTTTTTTTATTTTCTAAATTATAATTAACAATACATTTTCTTTCTCATCAAAACCATTCATAAACATATCCTAGGCTTATAAAATTTCCTACACAAGACCAGAATATTAAATCACTTAAGAAAAAAAAAAATTTACATATGCCCC